TCACGTAACAGCACAGAATTACATCAATATAGATATCGTTTGGAGATAATCCGTTTTTTTAAGAATAACGAAGAAAAAGACCCAGTCTGTTGATCATCTCAACAGAGGGTCATGAAAATGAATCCTTAATGTATAGGAAGAAGACTGCGCCAGCCTGACAATTTCCACATAATCAGAAGACATTCGGCAAAGAGGAACTCTTGTTCGAGTGACTACACACTTTGGATCAAAATGAAATTCACGTTAAAAATGAAAAAGCTAAATTTAGAGAAACATAGTTTAGTCAAAGGTGTGAAGAACAAGATGCAGTCCCCTTTGGTTGTATTGAAGTTGCATGACGTTGGTTTCGCAACTTGGTCATATTAGCAGGAAGACCTAGAGGAACGCACCTTGTTCGGAGTCCATAGTATGCATGATCATTTCCAGAGTCAGACCGCGGGCTTGGTAAATTGCCAGACATTTCGCCTGCATCGTAGTCGGCATCGTCAGTGAGTCTTGCCAGTCTCAGAAAGCAAGCTACAACTCGTCAAAAGAGACAAGTGAAGTCAATCCCTTGACCAACTTTCTGTCGAGACAGTTATGCTATTATTCCTCATTTTGTCTTGGTCCCTCAATCCATTTCCTACCCTCTAGTTCCGCCCTCGTCCGATCACAACTTCTGACATGCCCATATTCCACAAGAGATGTGCTCTTTTGTGGAAACATGATGACAAAATAAGTTAAGTAGGTTTTCGAGACTACCAGTAAATCAGATATATGCGTTGTGTTCACCCTACTTCGTTTAGGGTGATGAAGGACTGGTAGTTGAATTTTCCCACAATAATATGAGTATACATGATGCTTCCATTGAATTTCACATAGCCTTGATTTCCAAAAAGGTATTCTAACCCAGCTTCCATTTCGAGTGAATGGGTTGAGTGAAGAGATTTGAAGGTCGGTTCCACCAGAAGACGACGGCGGATTCCTCTTGACCAGCTGTCGAGTGGCTTTACTGGAAGATTCATGATGACGCTGTTTCCGAGGCAAAAGCGTGAAAAGGTGCCAAGCGTTCGTCCGTCATATAACGGACATCATCAGAGCGAGGTAACATCGTCACAACAAAATTCAAGCCAATGAGTCAAGAAAAAGTTGACATATGACCTTAACTAACCAAATCACTTTATACATGATCAAAGAGGCCAGA